CCCCCCCAACAAATCTCCTCCTCGCTACTGATTATTGCCATTCTTAATCTATCTCGGCTGAAGAGTGTATACTTCAATTGATAAAAATCTTCATAGTATCTTTAAACTATTAAGGACTCAGTGGAACAAAATTTGGTAGAAATTTATTGAATTGTTTTTGGAAATAAAAAGGAAACATGTGACTAGTTACAAACTTTTTGAGAGTTTGTGAGTGCTTTATGGGTGGAAGAATTTTTCATAGAGAAATGTCCTATAACAACTTCTTCAAACCCAGTTTCTTGGAAAAAGTTTTGCCAAAACTTCTTGATCAAACTTCAACAAAGATACCTTTTTATGACCGAGAAATGGGTCTGGAGACGACCCTTTAAACAACAAAGTCATTTGGCAACAAATGTTGCAACTTTTTAGAAAAAAAATTCCTCAAACAAATGCCACCTAATTTCTTTGCGAGATAACCACTATATAACTCGAAGTGAAGAGCTCACGCCCCAACAACATAACAGTAAATTTGACATAGAAAGATGCATCAGCTTATTCAAACATCAATAACAAACAATCATTTAAGTACCTGTAAGATCATCAACCATATTTCCTGGATATATTTCTTTAAGAGGTGGTAAAATTGCAGGCACACATGTCTGCAAAAATAAGTAGGCTAGCTAAGACCAGGGAAAAAAAAGTTCTGTTATTTACAAAAGAGATGAGAAATTTAATAGAACTGCAACAGTCTTAAAAAAGGAACATGACTAAGTAACAACATTGTAAACAATCAGGTCCAGCTTATCTTTTTTATTTCAATATTCACTTACTTATGAGCCAATTATTTGATGGGGGTGACTTTGCTGAACAATTTTCCCTGAAAATCACTCATCTCTGACAGGTATTTTCTCAGTCCCTACTTACTGATTGGAAGTCCACTTCTTTTCTATTCTCTTCTTCCCAATACTCACTTCTTTTTATAACTCTTCTTCCTAATGCTTCCTCACTTTTTTAGATTATAAAAATGTAAGAGCTAATAATGATAAAACTACATAAAAAGCTTGTCTTTTTACTTTTTACACCCTTTTTCCTTCTCCAATTCTCTTGGTAAAAAAAGGATCTAGAGATCATGTATTTGCTTTAGATGAAATGCAAGTCTGTACTGCAAAATCAAGAGTTATATTACCCTATAAGCAATAGGCTTCATACTCTTCAATACTTTGGGACGTGAGACTAGAAACTGCCTTTGTAAAACTAATGCAACAGAAAATTACCTGAAAGTGGAACACAACTAACAAGCTGAGAGAATATGAGTTCAAAGTTCCAGCCTTCGAATCATTAATATTATGTGCCTTAGCCCATTCTTTCACCTGCACACAAAGGAGAAATCATCGAATCGAGTCACATTATTCAAAAGTAGCCTCATTGTCTCCTATGTGGGCACATACCAGTAAAACCATATCACGAAATCGTCCATCAATCATGTTGATCCAGTATAATATTTTGGACTTCATTTGGCCACTCAAATTATTGATTGATATATCACAAGAAATATTGTAATTGCCCTGAAACTTCAAGATTGGGACTCTCGCATTGGTAATAAATTGCAGCTTTCGGCATCCACCTGTGAAGTAGTGCTAGCAATGAATTAGACCAACACACTCTTGAAAGCAAGAAACAAATGAGAGTGAAGATTTCTCCGGCTTTTCTCCAGCAATGCTAACAGCAGCATTATAAAATTAAATCACAATTAAGACAAGGACAAAAACAACTGAGTTTGGCTCGGAAAGTTACACACTTGGATATTACACATATCATGTTCAGACTTCAGGGTTTCTAGTCTGAGCAAACTTCCTTTCTACGATCCTTTATTTTTTTTGTTGTTGCTGCCGCTGTCTTCTTGAGCCGAGGGTCTATCGGAAATAACCTCTCTACCTCCCCAAGGTAGGGATAAGTCTGCGTACACACTACCCTCCCCAGACCCCACTTGTGGGACTCCACTGGATTTTTTGTTGTTGTTGTTGCTGCTGCTGAGTGCATCTCTTATATAATCACTTTTTCATATAAGAAGGTAACTTTAGTAACAAAATGCTACGTCTTTTCCAGAATCCTATTACTACGGCTGTTAATGTCGAATTGATGGAATGTTCAAAGGCATTCCATGACATAATGATATCTCATGTTAAATTGTCACATCAGTGAGGTACTTCAGACATGATCCAGAACTAAATTCTCAGAACATCAGTTAACATGAGATAACAAGGAAAACAAAGCAAAGAAGTGAACGCATGTACATCAATGCATCTGTAACAATCGTATGAAAAAAAATGGATGACAGCTATTGATCTTCAATCCTACACACTAACATAGTACTTCTCTTGTTCCTAACAAGGTTGGGTCTGACTCTTACTATGATAGAATAAGAACATCCATATCCCCCTCACCCCGCAGGAGAATAATTCTATTTCCTCATTAACAGCTGGCAACTGGATAAGATATTTAAAAAGTCTGACAAAGCTATTTGATTTTCAGTAAGTACTCATTTTGAGAAAAGAGGGCCACAAATCCAGCTCCAAGCAGCAGTTGGTATTCCTAAAGGAGTTGCTAAAGAACTAAAATTGATATCTGACACCGGTAACCATTCTTTTGGCTCATTTGCAATAAAACTGCAGCAGCTTCCTTTATTTAACAGTTCTAAGCCCTTTCCTAGTTGCCAAAGGAAAAACTTCCTATTATTTATCTTCAATTTTAGCACCCCATATAAATATCCCAGGCCCATCAAATGCTATGAGCATATTTGATTTTCATCGAGAAAATCTCAAACAGCTTGACCATTGATCCTTGCTACTAGTGGAGAATTTTCATAATAAAGAAATAATTTATTTACGCAAATCAAAGGGCATTAATCATGAGAGCATACCTTTAGCTTTCAGAGCTTTTCGCACATCCTCTAGTAGACTTAGTTTGTACTTCTTCCCAGCAGATGAGATATATGATCCATTGGGCAACTCAATGGAAATATCAAGATCTCCCCATCTTGTAAAAAGATTTGACACGAAAGATCCAAATGGCTCTACAGTTGCCCCTGGTCACAGAGTAGAAGCTGACAATAGTAAACTTGGTGCTTGTTAACTGAAACAGTATCTATGTCTTCACCTTTAACATACCAAGATGACCCAAAGAAGGGTAATTCCAGAAGAGGAACTTAGAACTTCACCAAATTAGCATCTAATTTACATGAAAAATTCAGAAGACTAAATAAAGTTGTTCATCCTATTAAAATTAATCTTAACTTGCAATTATGGTCTTCCAAGGGACCAAAGCTGAGAAGAATCATTTCCAACTCCAAAATCAAAAAGGGTGTAGGGATGAGCTGTTAGATTACAAGGAAAGCACCGTCCATTGAGTTGCCAGTACATAGAAACACCCCCTACATGCCAACCCGCAAAATAGTACATCATGTTTTACCTGATTTGAGAATCAAGAAAAATCGTCTCTACAAGTGACAAACAAGTAACCTAACCACCGAAGCTCCACTAATCAGGATATATAACAAAGTATCACCACTTTAAATTACCTCTCAGGCTTTCTATGTTTTCAACCATGGCTCGAAGTTCATCAATGAGTTGAAATCTCATAGACCAATCCTCATCCAACGGATTGATAGAGCGAAGTATATTCCGAAGAGTATGCTCCAACAAGCTGTAGCCATTCATTTTGAGTACCAGATACCCTTTGATTCTAGCTTATTAAAGATAATATATCAAGCTATTCATGAAAAGAATTGACTACCTGCAGAAAGAAGGGATAAGAACAAGGTTTATAACAATTAGTGCAACTACTCAAGAAAAGATGATTAAATTGAATTTTGGCGAGTATCGTGACAGGTGAGGAATTCAGACTCATTTCATACTAGGAATGAATTATCTTTATGTGCCATGAAACAAAATTATAGCTGCTTAAACATAAAGACAAGCCAGATAATCAAATTCTTGAATCGCAGCAAGGGGGAGAAAATCATAGTTGACTCACTGACAAGTTAACTGTTCTGTCCCTTAGATCCAAAATGTACGAGAGCAAAAAAGAATTGACACCTACAAGAAACACTTGCGAGCAGCCACCACGTGTATATTGCATCAACAACCAAAGGATAAAATGACCAAAAAAACTGACTGGCATCCCCAAATTATTGAGTTCTAAAAGTGAATAAATGCTAATATCTATCTATTGGATTGCCAAAGAGGACATTAAGAAACATATCCACGAGAGAAACAAGTAACTCAAACGCCAAAATCATAATCTACTGATGGTATACTTAGTGTAAGCAAGCTCGAACATCACATCTTTGGAATAACATCCAGTTAGAGAAAAGAAAATCCAATTAGACATAAGATGCTCGTGAGCTCATGCATACGTAAAAGGGAACGAGGAGGCAAGCTCCTCATCTTCCGCATATCTTGCTCAGACATGGCATGAATCACTGAACCTGCACCCCTTCATCCAAGTCACAACTTCATACTCCAAACGTCATCTTTTGTCCAAAGTCCAAAACAATTCAATATCATCTCACCAGACCAGCTAACCCACCCATCCACTAAAGAAAATAAATCAAGAAGTTGGACCTTGATTCGAATTCATTGACGTGGTCCACCTTCTCTCCCACGCTTAATATGTACAGAAGTGAAATCGGATGCAGAGATAATGTAATTAACCAAAAGAACTAAATACACCACACATGGTTTTATATACAAAATAGTTTATAGATTCTCAAATATTCACCCTAAGAGGAGCTTATGGGTTAACATTACATGATCATGTTCCATAAATTATGATACCTGAGTTCAATCAACAACTGTTCACTCAGTTTATCTAAAAACCATAATAAGCATAGATGTCCTTTTTAGTATGTATATTGGCTTATCCATTGATCCAATTTTGTATGTCTTACTCAAGATCTTATCCGATGAGAGAAACACTACCACAACTAAGAGAAGCATTCACGTTTTGATACATCTCTACAAGATAAGTGCAAAAAACAAAACAAATTTAAATGTAATAGCAATAAGTAATGAAGTTCTAAAAGCAGAAACCTGGATAGGAGAACTGAAGTTTATGCTGGTACAAACAAACTCCTAGAATCTACGAAATGATACTTTTAACTCATATCCAAGTACCTGGACAATTTATTTCGGCGTCCATAAATATGCACAAGAAAGTAGGACAAAGTAATCCATTAGCATCTGCTTCTTCACTGGTATCAAATAAGTTTGTCTGCTCTGAGGCTTGCCCTTATTTTACCAAACAACTGAAGTTGGATCAGTTGCTTTAGAATAAAAAACCATAATTTCTTCTTATTTGATCATTGATAGTTAAACAAGTTTTTAACTCCTTAATTAAATATTTTATAACAGCTTTTAACATCCAAATCTTTCAGATTGCTCCGACAAGGCAATAGGCTATAGATCACTCCGCATAAAATTTTTTACCAAAATAACTTCGGGACCTCTTTCCCCTTTTATGAGTAACTGCAATGTCTAAGAAGGCTTAAAATCCATTCTATCCGACAAACTTGGTGGGTATTGTTAACCTTCCTTAGATATTTAAGAACAGTATTCTAGAAGAATTACCAGCCCAGGAAATAAAGAACCTTGAGTATGGCATTAAAAAAAAGTTAATATACCTCTGGATACAATTCACACATCATCTTTGAGCAAAAGGAAAAGATGAAGAAAGCTTCAGTGACTTCACATTTGGGTTTATGGCCTAGGCACTAATTGGCAACCAAATTACAGACAAATAACACACTAGAACCAATACATGCTCAGAATCAGGAGCGGAAATAAGTAAGTAGCATCCGTCAAAATAAGAGGGGACAAAAACAACAGGAAACGATACCATGGGAATAGCATCCAGAAGTTCCAATAGCTCAGAAAACCAAATCTTTACAATCAACAATTCAGCACCACCACCCAATTCCTTATTAAAATCAATGAAATGGGTCCACTGAAAAAGCATTCAGAATGACCCGAAAGGGAAAAAGAAACAAACACCAATAGCGATTAAAGTTGAAAAAAAGGGAAAAAGGCTGGAGTGGAAAGTACTAACCTAATTGTCATTGGGTGATCGTAAAAGGGTCCATTGGAGACATTAATAACTTTTTTCAAGATTTATGACTATGAGGAGGGGCGGGTTTGCTTATAGGCAAGGGTTTTCTCCATAGTAATAAAATTTGTGTCCTGTCTCTATCTACTGAGTGTATAACTAAGGTTGTATACTTTACTTACTGCGACAAGATTTTGGAACGCAGGAAGCGCGTCTGAGTATTTCAGACATAGAAATTAGAATTTGATTGACGAGGGAGGACTATCAAGTATGAAGTTCTCACAATCAGTGCCATCCCTATTTCCATGTACCTTCGGATCTTGACCATTTATCATCTCTTATTATGTTGTGTGCCAATTGTCTCACATCAACCAAAAAAAATGTTAATGGGCTTATTATGGATCAAGTCTATTAGGTTGGATCCCTACCTAATAAGTTCAATCTAGAGGAATTTTCACAAACCACTATAGTTTAGAGCCTAATAACTGTAATTTGCTTAATTATCATTCGTAGCTACTGTTCAGTTGTTACTAACTTATATTAATTGTATTCGTTCGTGCAATGAATACTGTATTCGTTCGCGCAATGAATACTACATGTAGCAACTGTATTTGTTCGCGCAATTGTATCCATTTGTGCAACGAATACAATATATGTAGCAACTCTGACCAAGGTCGCGCAATGAATACTACATGTATCAACTGTATTTGATGTGTCAACTGTAATCATTCGCGCAATTGTATCCATTCGTGCAACGAATACAATATGTATCAACTGTGACCAAGGAGAATACAAGGGTGTATACAAATGATACAACTTGTATCAACTGTATACATGAGTGTATACAAACGATACATGTTGTATCGACTTATTTGTTCGTGCAACGAATACAACTAAGGCAAAATACAAAAAAATAAAATGTTCTTGTTAAGCTTCGAAATCAAGACCTTCACTAACTAAGCAGGCGCTTTAACCAACTGAGCTATGAGAGCTTGTTGCTCCCTTGTTTCAGTTCAAAACAATTAATCTCTTATTTCATGGATTTGTCATAAAATTCAAATATAGCTACGAATGGTAAATTTGCTGAAAGTATAGCTACGAATGGTAAATACAGTGTAAGTATTTGATGTATCGCGTAATTTTCCCTTCAATGGTCTTCAAGCCCAATTTTTTTAAGGATTTCTTGAAGGCTACTTTTGTAATGTCTCAGCTGTCCGTTTTGAGTATTATAGCCCTGTTCCCCCATTTATTACTTATTTTATGTTCATTTTTGTTATGTGACTTGCTGGGGTGGTTGGTTTGGTTCCGGGGATATTTCAGAATAAGTTGGGATACTTAGTCCTAAGGTTGGAAGTCTAAGTTGAAAGAGTTGATCGGATGTTGACTTATGTGTAAACGACTCTGGAATGGAGTTTTGATGGTTCCGATAGCTCCATATGGTGATTTTGGACTTAAGAGCATGTCCGGATATCGATTTGGAGGTCCATAGGTGGTTTTGGCTTGTATTGACGAAAGTTGGAAAAATTGAAGGTTTGGAGAGTTGAGAAGTTTGACCGAGAGTTTACTTTGTTTATACCAGACTCGAATTTTGGTTATGAAAGTTAGAAATGGCCTGTTGTGTCATTTATGACTTGTGTGTAAAATTTGAGATTAATCGGAATTGGTTTGATAGGTTTTGGCATCGATTGTAGAAGTTGGAAATCATGTTTTTGATGTGATTTGACGCCTCGACTAAGTTCGTTATGATGTTTTAGGATTGTAAAGACCCGTAAAATCCTTAACCAAAACTCGAGATTTTATGGTGCCGAGTTGAATTCCTGTGTTATTATAGTTGCTCGCGGTTTGGTGGATTGAACCGTACCCTTCAAACTTAGAGGAAAATGTTGCTCAAAAGAATGTATTTTTGTGGCCCATTATGTGGCCGCATAATCACTCTGCGGACCGCATAATGGTCGTAAAGTGCAACAGAAAGTTGGCCAATTTTGAGACCAGTTATGCGATTGCATAATCGCTATGCGGGTCGTATATTGATCGCATATTTTCCTTGAACTTTTGCGAAGGGAAGTTCTGCGGTGCATTATGCGACCGTAGAACAGGTATGCAGACCGCATACCGATCGTATACACAGTCAAAAAACTCAACTTCCTGAAGGCCCCTTCTGCGGTCACTTTGCGGGCCGCATAACCATCCTGTGTTGGGGCACCCATTGTCTTAATTTAAAACCCGACCCCCATTCCGTTAAAACATCCCCTTAGGCCATTTTCAACATATTTCTCTGATAATTAGAGTAAGAGGGAAGGGTCAAAGAGAGGGGAAGGGGTCTCCATCAATGGTTCGTCAAATCTTGGCCTAAACATCTTTAATATTAACAATCAAGGCACCTAGGTCTCCTTCCCAAGAGGTAAGCTTCTATCACCGAAGCTCTCAATTCCATATTGTAGCTGAATGGGGCCATTAGTGAGATAATTCATGGGGATTAGGGTGGTTACCTGGCATGCATGTGATCCTAAGGTATGTGGGAGAGTGCTAAAACAAAGATAGAAAAGAATAGGGAGTGGGTTGGGGGAATCTTCCACTAAAAAGGGGCCATGAGACCCTAACTCATAATGTTTGATATAATGCTCAAATAAGCTAGGGCTATGGTCAATTTCCTAATAGTGAGTTCAATTGTGCTACATGGTTAAATAGATTGAAGGTGCTAAAGGTTCCGGAACTTGACGTAGGAATTAGGGAAAGACTCAATTAAGGTATGTATGGCTAACCCTCTTCTTCTTAGTGTTGAACTCTTGGTGTCCGAATAATTGGCGTGAGTTCCGAGTCGATCATACTAGATGGATTGCCTTAATGTGTTGGGTTGAAAGATTTTGTTCCAAAATTATTCTAAGTGTTTACCCTGAAATCATGCTAGTTGAAAATGTGATTATGTTCTCCAAGTGTTCTTTTTCTTTCCTTATGTACGCATGCCTTATATGATAGCACTTATCGACATGGATGATGAAGTTATTTGAACGAATAATAAAGGGGAAGACTTGAATTATAAAAATGTGTCCAAGTGCCAAGAACTATTTAATAAACGGGGCTGATTGTGTCATGTAATGGAAAACAAAAAGAAATGAGAATTAAGGAATAATTGAAAGAGGTTATGTCCCAAGTGAGATGGCTTAGCCGATCGGGCTGAGATAGGACGCCATGTTGTACACATGGTGGCATTTATGTTGGATTTCTGATTATCATTGTGAGTTTGGATATGTCTCACTTGGGATGGCTTAGCCGGTCGGGCCGAGACCAGACTCTGTGTAAAAACACGGTGGCATTATGGGTTGTGGCACTTGGCACAAAAGATTATTAACCTAAAGAGATGGAAAGATTTAACCGGAACTATGTGAACCTTATTTAGTGTTTCCTTGAAATCCTATGAAGTACTTGTTGATTTTATAACTGTCTTCTATTTGTTTAATATTCATCCTATTAAGATTTGTGTTTGCCTTACATACTAGTACTATTCAACAGTACTAACGTCCCTTTTGCCAGGGGCGCTACATGTTTGAATGGATGTACGTGGTTTCATCGCAAATAGCGCCGATCGCAGATAGTGGTGCTCTCTTTCTCTCCTTACGGCAGTCTTGGTAAGCCCTCATTTCTCCCAAGGGTTATGCAGTTCTTCTTTTGTATAAATTTCTATATTTTGAGGTACAGCCGGGCCTTGTTGCTGGGATTGTCATATTGGTCCTTTGTATCCTTAGAGGCTCCGTAGACGTTTATGTGGGTCATGTATGGGTTTCGGGGTGGCCACTTGATCATGTTGTATTTTGAAACTCTTCTCCACTAGATTGTCAACTGTATGTACTTTTGGAAACTTAACTATGGCATATGGTGTTTAAGTGAAAATGAACTAGTAACGTTGATGTATTTATATAACTGTCCTCTCCCGTGTTTAACAATTGGTGATGCGTTTCCTTTTTTCGGATTATGAATAAATTGGATAGGAAAGGCTGGATAGGTTTGCTCGACCAGGTTCACTCGGTCGTGCGCCGGTCGCGCTCCCCGAAGTTGGGGCGTGACAAAGATGGATTGGTATGTTTGGATAGGGGCCTCGGGTGTAATTCAGATTGAATTTTGGACTTGTGATGCTGGTGTGTTCAATTCTTGTGACACCGCACTTGCGTGAAATTAGTCGTAGGTGCGAAGCCGCTGAAGCGGTCATGGGGTCTTAGGTACGGTCATGCGTGTGTTGGGCAGTGGTCGCAGGTGCGAGGGTAATTCCGCATCTGCGAGCCCGCAGATACGATGAAGCTTCGTAGATGCGGATTTTGATCAGAGGCTCAGGGGTCACAGAAGCGGAAGGTATCCGTAGGTGCTCTCCCACATGTGCGGAGCTTGGACCGTAGAAGCTGACCCGCAGAAGCGGGATTTGAGCCGCAAAAAGTGGCTGGTCGGGAGTTTAATGAAAATTGGCAAAATCGGGCTTTCTTCCGCAAAAGCGGGGCCGCAGGTGCGGCTGGTGAGTCCGCAGTAGCAGAACTGCTGGACAGAGTTATAAGAACGAGGGTTAGAGTATTTTCTTCATTTTTGGACCTTAAGAGCTCGGATTGAGGCGATTTTTGGAGGGGTTTTCACCTAGATTGAAGAGGTAAGTGATTTTTGATCACTTTTGTCCACGTATTTTGAATACCCATTGATTATTTCACCTATTTATCATGAATCTAAGTTAGAAATGGGGGATTTTTGACCCATGTATTGGAGAGTACGATTTGAGGATTTGAGGGTCGATTGTGGTCGGAATTGGATCATTTTAGTAGGTTGGACTCGTTATCGAATGAGTATTCATATTTTATGAATTTTGTCGAGTTCCGAGGCATAGGCCCATAATTGAATTTTTGAATTTGGTTAAAGAACTTAGCTTTATCGTATGAGATCAATTCCTATAGCTTGTATTGATTATATTAAGTTGTTTATGGCTAGATTCGAGTAATTCAGAGGCCGATTCGCGAGACAAGGGTTTGTTGATGCATTGAGTTGCATGCTTTGATGAAAGTAACACTTCTAAACTTGGTACTGAGGGTATGCATCTCTAGATTACGTGTTATATGGTTGGTGTTGAGGTGACGCACATACTAGGTGGCTGGCGTGTGGGCATGCATCGTGGAGTTTATGACTCGGTTGATTGTGTGGTACTGTGTAGTTACCTAATCTTGTTTCTATCCATGTAACTTCTACGTGTTAGAGTAATTGAGCTGTGATTTATGTTAGAAATCCTGTTTAGCTTATGTGTTTATTCTGTTGAGACACACTATGGTCATTACTATTGAGTTAATTGCTTAAGTT